GACCACCCAGAGCTGCCAGAAATCAAATGGGACAGCCAACAGAGAAATCAATTGTTGAGTTTCCCTCCCACAGAAGGAAGAAGTAAAGGAAGGGGGTCCTGCAAAGGGGAGGGGTGGGAAGGAAAGGAATTGCATCCCTGCCAAAAGCAAGGAATGAAAGTGCATAAAAGGCTCCATATTGAAATGAAAGGGGCTCCACATTGATTCAGCCCCCGCAACCCACCCAGAACAGGGAGAGGCCATCATGGCGCAAGAGGGAGGCAGACATCTCACCCGCTGTCCTCCGCTCCTCTCCCACTCCAGCTCCTCCACTTGAGCCTGAAGCTGCTCCTGCTCTCCTGCGGGTACCAGCAGATCTGTGCCGGCCTCATGACCAGAGGAAACTTGGTCTCCTTCATCCTCTACCAGGCAGATGTGGGGGACCATGTGCAGGTCAGTGAACACTTCAATTCGAAAATGTTTTCTTCTGTAGCACTTCAGGTTCTTCGGTGGCTGCGACCTTCTGTGTCCCTCTGTTCCTTTGACCCAACCTGCCTTCGTCACAGCCTGCAGTCGGATTCCCTCTTGATTTCCTTTTTCTCGCTCTCCTCTTCTAGAGCTAAAATACATTTTCTTCCAGCAATTCCATTCACCGCTTGGTGCCCGAATTTCCATGTTGACTATATTTGATTCCATGTATAGATCTAGGCTGCAATTCTGGACCTGTTTATGGGAGCAAGACCCATTTCACTTGGTGGGAATTATTGGTGTTTGTGTAGCATTGTGTGGTGTATGTTGGACCCTGCGGGATGGTTGTTCTGAAATGGCAATTGGACAGCATTCGACATGCACTGGAGCTGCGTATCTGCTGCTGTTGTTGTGTGTTCCAGGTGATGAAAAGGAATCGAGAAGGAGCTGCTGATAATCACCCAACTGTTGCTTCCTTTACAGATTTTAAAAGTTTGCTTTGATTTCCTTTGGATGGAGGAACACTGCATGTTTTGCAGAAAGATTTGCATTATACACAAACCAAGAAGTAGCAATTAAATGGAAACAAACAAGTCCTTTAGAGGCATCTTTTTAAAAATATGCTGCTTTTCCTTTGAGGAAATGGCTGCTGTATGTTATTGATTTGGTTGGTGTTTTGGTTTCATCCAAATCATTCCCTCCCCTGTAATTTATTTGCCTTCAGGAGTGCTTTTTTCCAAAAATAGTCCTTTGGGGGGCATCTGAGGTGGTAGATTTTTTTGTGGTGGTGAATCTCTATAGGGAGTGGGAGACCTTCCAGATTTCAAATCGGATTCCCGTGGCTTTTCTTTTACAAAAAATAGTGGCCACTTTAAACCACTGTGAACAGAGACCAGCGATTTGCACAGAGTTGCAAGTTCAAAGTTGCAGGTGGACTTGGCTGAAACTTGGAGTCACGTCTTCAGGGAGCAAAGCGACTTGTTTTCTGGGATTCTGTTGTTTTCAAAAGGCGCTTGAAACAGCCATCAGATATACTTATGTTCCTTTTTTTTGCTTTTTTTCTTGGACTTTCCATTTCTCGTCCAGCAGCAGGCAGCATCTGCTCTCTGGTGTCAGAAAGCAGGACTGGGTCTGGTCGGTACTTGCATAAGAGACCACCTGGGGATCCTGAGGTGGTAAGCTGAACTGGGAGGTCATCAAAACCTCCCACAGAAGCGCAGGCCAAGCTCTTCTGCATAGTTGCCATGGAAACTGCAGGGACACATCTGCATGGTCAGCAGGAGTCCAGTTGGACTTCAGCGTATCATTAATATTGATTGGCTTCCCCAAGGCAGCTTCCTTCAAACACACAAAGAGACTGCAGGGTTGCCTTGCAAAGGGAACATTCATATCCTTAAGATATTCTAAGTATAATGCCCGGACAAATGCACTGAGCGAGATCCCTGACTGTGAAGAAATTGAATTTCTCATTCAGACAGGGCTTTTGAGTGTTGCCGTAGACCTTGATGCTCAAAAACGGAGTAGCGAGCTGCATATAATTCTTTGCAGAGGCTCTCATGTCTTAATGCTGCTGCCCCTTCTTTTCCCCCCACAGACCCTGATGTACACGTATGGGGATGCCCTGAGCAACGTGGGAGCCGCAGAGAAGGTCTTTGAGTACCTTCGCCGGGAGCCGTCCGTCTGCACAGGAGGGACGCTGTCTCCGGAATCCCTCCGCGGACACGTCTGCTTCCGGAACGTTTCCTTCTGCTATCCCTCTCGCCCCAACATCCAGGCCTTGAAGGTACCCTGTGGGGAGCTGAAAAGCTCATGGGCTGCTTTGCATAACACCCTAACAGTACATCATTGCTAAGGCTTTAACTAACTTGGTTAAGTAGGTTGTGTGTTGTAGAAACCTAATCAGAACCTTTTCTCTTCCATAAACATTTCTAGAATGTGGAGTCTTAAAAGGCCTTTAAAGAAGAAAGCACATTTCTGTACTGAACTGGACTCAAACCGTAGGATCTGCGTCTGTGTTGATGAATGTTGCTTATTCCTGCCTCCCTTTGCCTAGAACGTCTCCTTTGAGCTGCGCCCCAGAGAAGTGACGGCGCTGGTGGGCCTGAACGGCAGTGGGAAGAGCAGCTGCGTCGCCCTCCTGGAGCGCTTCTACGAGCCCCAGTCCGGGGAGGTCCTGCTGGACGGAGTCCCGGTCGGGGAGTATGGGCACAAGTATCTCCACAGGCAGGTGAGGGAAGACCCAGCCTGGTGGGGAGCAGCGGGGGAGGGGCGGGCAGCCTCCAGCTTTCTCCTCTTCTGGACTGAAGCCTTTGGGGCTCTGGGTGCCAGAAGGGCAGTGACGGTCTTCACAGAAGGGGGGTCGTTCAGCAAGGAGGAGAGCATGGTTGGGAGATGGGGGCCTAAGAAACGTTAGGCCACGCAGTTTGGGTGAGACCAACCCATCAGCCATCAGGATTATCACCTGGGTACCTTTGGGTGGTTGAAGGGCTACAGTGGGAGATTTTTTGGGGTGGGGGTGCTGCAGAGTGGGGAGGACCACATGACATAAGAGGAAAAAGTTGTAATTGTTTGGGATTTGGGAGGCATTGCAGGTTTCTTTGTGTGCTTGTTTAAAAATTCTAATGTTTATGCCATACGCTGCACTTTTTATGAGTTGTGAGCCACAGACCTGGAATTCCCTGGTGGTCTCTCATCCAGGGACCAACAAGGTCTGACCCTGCTTAGCTTCTCAAAATCAGCCAAGGCTGGCTGGGTGCAGCCATGTAGCCTCCAGATTAAAAAGAGCAGAAAACAGCTCAGCATCTACAGTTGGGAGACTAGTGAGTCTTACATCTGGAACAGCTGCGCCTTGAGCAGCACCCAGCCCCACCCTGGAAACGTGCCAGACAAGGAGGATCGGTGGAGTCTCTCCCTCAGCCCAGCCCTGTCCTGATAGGCCTCCCGTCCAACTGCAGGTGGCGCTGGTGGGCCAGGAGCCCGTCCTCTTCTCTGGCTCCGTCTGGGAGAACATCACCTACGGCCTGCGAGGCTGCAGTGAGGAAGACGTGAGCAGAGCAGCAAAAGAAGCCGATGCCTTGGGATTCATCCGTGAGCTGGAAGGAGGCTTTGCTGCAGGTGAGGAAAATCCATCCCTCTCGGTTCATCCCGTAAAGGCCCACTTTCCTTGCAGAAAACCCACCGGTCCTGGTTCTTGGCTCCCCTGAAGTTAAATCCTGCTTGCTTCTGTTGGCAAATGTATAGGTAGTTTTCGAGTTATAACCATTAGTTCAGTAACCGTTCAATGGCACTGAACAAATAGTGGTTACAACCAGTCCTTGACGTTCAGGCTGTCGCACCACCCCTGCAGTCACGTGGTCACAGCCTGGGCACTTGGCAACTGGCTCGCACTTAAGACAGTTGTAGCACCACGTGATCACCATTTGTGACCTTCCCTGCTGGCTTCCCACAAGCAAAGTCAATGGGGAAGCCAG